CCTGTCATACTTATCAAGTTTGGTCACTCTGACTAGACCCTAAACCACAGTTTAAAGGCTTGAAGTGCATCACTAGTAAGATTTTTTTGTTTGCTTTTTTGTGTTGTTTTTTTTTGTTACAGTGATACTTTTGGAAATTGACAAATATCAGATTTCTGTAGCAGACACTGGATTGTGGGAAAAGAGGAATATACATATTACCAAAATCTATTTTTTTTTGTTGAAAAAATATACTTTATTTTTATATACGTATTGTTTCAAAACAATAAACAATTCAACAAGCAATGGGTGTGATGGGGGTAGGAAAGAGGGATGAGCGAGAGGAAAAAGAGTTCACAGACCCAAAGCTTTATTGAAAGGACAAAGACATGCAAGGAAGAGTGGGGGAAGGGGAAATTCTCTGACGTTCTCTTCCTCCTTGAAGTCCATCAGGTTATAGTCTCTGAACACACTGTGGACCAGTCTGTGACAGTCCTTAAAGGATATCCTCTCCCACTGGTGGATGAGGCACTTCCTGGTGCACCATAAAGCATTCCTTGAAGCAACACAGCACCTGCCAGGCGCCATCAATGTCCTCCTGAAATAAAGGTTCCACAGAAAAGTCCATTCAGCACACCAAAGTGTGTGATGGCTGCCTGTGGCACAACGTCCTTGAGTTCTTGTTCCAAGTCCCTCAACAGGTCCTGAGCAAAGGGGCACTCCCAGAAAATGTGTAGAGCAGTTTCCTCCTGGTTATTCAAAAAGGGCAATGCCTGTATCTGTTCAGGTTCCTGGCATGCATAAATGTCCTGAGTGGCAACCCCCCTTGGATTGCCATCCATACAAGATCCTTGTGCCTGTTGGTGAGTCTCTTTGAAGAAATATTCCTCCAGACCACCTTTCAAGTGGCTGAAGGCCTGGAACAGACTCCAATATATCCTTGGCTATAATCAGCTTGTAAATAGTCTTTGGCTTCCACAAGTCGGTCTTGACTCCATATAGCCCCTGCTCCTTGATACACTTAAAAGTTACCAAAATCAAGTGCCTTAAAGGCAGCTGCTAAATTTTTTGTGATCATTTTATATGCCAAACTGCAATCCCGGTCAGGAAACATATGTAGATTTGATCATTTTACTGGAGTCAGTTTTTTTTCTTCAAGCAGAATTTATGAATTGAAATATGATCATATATATCTGTCTCACAAAATGTATTATTGTTCCTGTTTGCACTGACTTGCTGTGCTGAAAAGGTTATAAATCTCTTCCACTGGCTGTTTTTACCTGCAAAAAGGTGTATCGAGTATACACAGCTAGTGTACAGAGTAGAAAAGCCAATCCCACAGTGCTGACATTTTGTAAATAAAATGTTTAGTGGCTTTTTACATATATTCAGGTTCTGGTCAGGTTACGATTAATAACTTGGTTTCCGTTTTGCGTACTCAGCCATTTTGAATATTGCAGAACAGGAGTGAGTCATCACTGTTGCGACTCATACCTTATTAGACAGTTCAGCACCAGATTTTAATCAAGGAATGCTTCAAAGCAAGTGTTTACTGTGCTGTTTCTTGCTTTCCCATACTGTTTAGAGTCCTTTCTCAACTATTAAATATTTATATTGGAAAACATATATTATGCATTTATAATTTAAAACGTATACAGTATATAAAACAACCATTTAAAAAAAGTAAAAGCATGTTGAAAAAAACCATCAGAAACACCCAAGACCATTTGTGGACTTTCTTTAACCCTGCCGCTGCCAGAGCCATTTTTGTGGGGGGTTTTTTTACCATATGTTTACAAAAATCATTTTAGGCCTGTCCCCAAAAACATTCTCTATTTTCTGAAAGAAGACACCCTAGAGAATTAAATAGTGGTTGTTCCAATTTTTATGTCACGCAAAATTAGTGCAACGGTTTATAAGATGCAAAACCTATTGACTGACAATATGACGATCCAACTGCTGACAGTCCTGAGTCAGCAGTTAGATTGTCAGATTTACACATACTCCTAATGGCTGCAGCCTCTGGCAGCATATGTAACCCCCCCAGATGTATGACATACAGCGGCAGCCATAGGGTCAAAGACTGCTTATATATGAAAATATTCCTATTATAAAATCTGAGGGAATCTATTTCCAATGGTATTAAGTCATCACATTACTTTGCCTCTATCAAAAATTCATATACATAATATTTTGTTGTATGTAATTTGAGCATCACAAGGCACTTTAACCTCTTTCATCCTTATTGCATTCTTAGTTGCAATAGTGGTCATTGCTATTCCTCATACATACCAAGGAGAGGACAGCTGAGAATGTTCCACAGAAACAAATTTATGTATTATCGCTATTATATAGCAAGTACTATCTAAAATATAAAGTAGTTTCTTTCAAAAAAGAGCCTAATTGAAGATGTTTCTATGACTATCTGATGGGAGCAATGCTTTACCTCTTACTTGATTGAAGATATAATTTCACCTATTGCCTCAGGGGTTGGTACAGAAGTGCACCATGGATAGTATCTAAGAAGATGACTTGTGGAACATCAGGCTGATTTACTTAACATCTTACTGATGGCTAAGCAATTTGTGACATTACTTAACTGCTTTATTTAGAATACGAGTGTTCTTCAAGGGCTACTTTTCAATACTTACAGTTGTGACCAAAATTATTCAACCCCCAATGCTGTAAAGGGGTTTAGGGACTATAGTGTACATTTGGAATTGTATTCAGAATCAAATCCTACAAGGACGTTGTAACTACCCAAATGCAACTAAAATGACATCAATTGTTTATGTAATACAGTAGTAAATGGTTCTTATGTGGTTTCTTCATTGCCAAATTATTCAACCCCTTAAAGACTACCACTCTGAAGAACAGAGGTTCATACAGGTGCTTTCCATCAGGTATTGAAAACACCTGTGGATGTCACCGAGCAGCAATCAAGCATAATAAGCACCAATTAGGCAGCTTTAAAATGACTGTGATACTCAGCTCCTTCTAGACATTTACTGGTGTGGTTACAAACATGGTGAAGGCAAGAGAATGGTCCAGGAAGACAAAGAGAAGAGGTGATTTCTCTTCACAGGAAGGGCAATGGCTATAAGAAGATTGCAAAGATGTTAAACATACCAAGAGACACCTTAGGAAGCATCATTCGCAAATTCAAGGCAAAGGGCACTGTTGAAACGCTACCTGGTCGTGGCAGAAAGAAGATGCTGACTTCGACTGCTGTGCGCTACCTGAAGCGTAGAGTGGAGAGAAGTCCCCGTGTGACTGCTGAGGAACTGAGAAAAGATTTGTCAGATGTGGGTACAGAAGTTTCAGCCCAGACAATAAGACGCACACTGCGTAATGAAGGCCTCCGTGCCAGAACTCCAGGCGTACCCCCCTTGCTGTCTCCAAAGAATAAGAAGAGTCGACTGCAGTATGCCAAAAGCCATGTGGACAAACCACAAAAGTTGTGGGATAGTGTTCTGTGGACTGATGAAACAAAATTAGAACTGTTTGGGCCCATGGATCAACGCTATGTTTGGAGGAGGAAGAACAAGGCCTATGATGAAAAAAACACCTTGCCTACTGTGAAGCATGGTGGAGGGTCAATCATGCTTTGGGGCTGTTTTGCTTCTGCAGGTACAGGGAAGCTTCAGCGTGTGCAAGGTACCATGAAATTCTCTTCAGTACCAGGAGATATTGGATGGAAACGTGATGCAGTCCGTCACACACCTGAGGCTTGGGAGACGTTGGACCTTTCAAACAGGACAATGATCCCAAGCATACCTCCAAGTCCACTAGAGCATGGTTGCAGAGGAAAGGCTGGAACATTTTGGAGTGGCCATCGCAGTCACCAGACTTAAATCCGATTGAGAACCTCTGGTGGGACTTAAAGAAAGCAGTTGCAGTGCGCAAGCCTAAGAATGTGACTGAACTGGAGGCCTTTGCCCATGAAGAATGGGCGAAGATACCCGTAGATCGCTGCAAGACACTTGTGTCAAGCTATGCTTCACGTTTAAAAGCTGTTATAACTGTAAAAGGATGCTGTACTAAGTACTAAGATTGAATGTCACTTGGGGGTTGAATAAAACTGATAATGCTGTGAGCACAGAAAAGACATTTGTGGTTATTTCATTATAACTGTTATGTTATATTTGTCTGACCTACAAGTGCCTCTTTAATGTAAATGTAAGCAAGATGACTGAATGATCAAAAGCAATGTCAAACTGGCCAAAACACTCAATTTCAGTGGGGGTTGAATAATTTGGTCACAACTGTAGATGTGTTCTTGGTTGTTGGTTAGTTTAAGCTCTAACTATCTTAGAACTGACCTATATCTGACAAATGTTTACCTTCTTTTCTTTCCCAAGACTTAGTTTGAGAGTAAGTTAAACACATTAAATTAAGTTCATTGTACAGGAGGTGATATCCAAGTTCATCTTAAACTGCTAAGCAATCGTTTTTTTATTGATTCTTTAAGTTCAGTCCTTAAAGGACAAACTGGCACAATGCAGAGCATTTTATGTGGTTAAATTGCAGTAGTAGGTGTTTTGCTCTGATACTCTGTTTCTTTAAACAAATGCAACCTAGAATGTTGCTAAATCTGATGTGAATAATTTGCCTGCTAGGTTACCATGGTACAAAATGCTGACAGTCTTTAATGTCTCTCTGGTTTAAGAATGCAATTTGATAGCTGAGCACTACAGAATGGGAGCTAATATTGTTTGGTTGTATTAGGTGAATCCTGCATATCACTGCAAGCAAAATATAGTTATCCTGATAGGTTTATTGGTAAATGCCCTCTACCTGCAGATGCTTAGCTTTTGAAAAGCTGTCAACAGCTTGTGTTAATACTGTTGGTAATATTTTTGGGAAATGGAAGAATGTTATCCTTTGGTCTTGTTAAATTGAATTCGCCTTGTATGGGCACCTTGAGTTAAGCCTTCACTTGTTGGATAGGATGCCTTATTGATGTAACAGCTGCATTTATTAAAACATTTACCAAAAAATGTTTTTCATTTTTTAACTAGTATCCTGCTGCCTTGATGAATCTGGGAGCTATTCTTCATCTCAATGGCAAATTGGAAGAGGCAGAAGCCAACTACCTCCGAGCTCTTCAGTTCAAACCAGATGATGTTATAACCCAGTCCAATCTTCGCAAACTGTGGAATATCATGGAGAAACAAGGTCTAAAGACATCAAAAACGTGACAATGAAGGACTACAGACATTTGACAAAACATTAGATTATACAATTGGACCTGCAGGGAACAGAGGAGCTGTGAGCAAGGCTTCCTGCAAGCATTGGATTCCCCAATTGCTGCTAGGAAAGTCTTCTGCTTTGGCAAAGTAGTTGTTCCATGCTTAATTAAAAAAGGGAAATGATGTTGTGGAATAAAAAAAGAACCTGCAAAGGGATTAGGAAATGCTTGTATTAGCCCAGATAACAGAAAGGCACTTAAAGTGAGATCTGTCTTCATTGCAGAGCAACCGGTTGTGAATATTTCTTGAGTAGGCTAAAGCTAATGGTAGCCTTTAAAGTTGTACAAAAAAAGCATAACAATATAAATACTTTTAATTGCTAAAATAATTAACATAAAGTTACACAGATCAATTTTTTCAGAGCTAATTCACTAAATTTTCTATATATTGTGTTACAAAATTAAAATGCTTTTTGGTTTATTAAACTGTTTCCTTTGGGGATAGAGGAGATTCTAGATCCTCTTGGTTTTGTCTGGCCAGTTATTCTTTTTTCTTTTTCTTTTTTTGTAATGTCATGGTTTGATTTTGAAGGTTGATTACAAAGTGATACATGCAGGTACTTCTAGGACAGGCAGTGCTACACAGGATAGTTAATCTCATCCATGCTAGCTTTTATTTGTTTTTGTACAAAAGCCCTGACAAATAAAAGTACTCTTCAATTATCAGTTTCAACACATTAGATCAAGAAAACAAGTCAGATATAGAGCTTAATAGCTCTTTGCTCAAGGTACAATATCCACATTTCCTATTTATTTCCAATGCAGCACTGTCTTGCTACAAACTATTTTTTTTGCATTGCAAGTCATTAAAACCCACAACCACAAGGAATTGACCATTAACTTTATTTGTCACAGTTAATTTTTGTGTGTTAACATCTGATTTTAACAGTACTTTTTTGAGATGGGAGGAACTTAGGAGGCCAGAGGTTTTTCTTCTAAATGGATAACTGAACCCAAGAGCAAAAATGTAATATATATACCAGTCCTTTAGATGTGGTAGCTGCATTATTTTTAATTTTTTAGGCTAAAACATTTTCAGAAAGTAAGCTAAATACCTGTTGATCTTGCCAATGTTATGTTAAACAATGTTCTCTTTCTTCTGTAAACTACTAATCTTTCCATCTCCATGTAAAGAATGAAAAAAGGCAGACATATCTGATTTCCAGCCTGAGTGGCAACCATGATTCCCTCTATAGAAGTGTGCATAGCCACCCAGTTACAGGAACTGGGTTAATTGTTAGCTTACTTGGTGAGGAATAATGGGAAAAAAAGTCTAAAAAAGAAAACCAAGGCAATCACCAGATCGAAGGACTAGAAAGCATTTCCCAGTGATACATCAAGATGTTACAGGAACCATTAGCAGGAAATGCTCATGGTGTGGGCTAGTGTAACCTTTTTTATTACCATTAATTTTAGCAGTTTACAGAATATTGAAGGGGTTGTTACAACAAAAAACGTGTTTTGCTCTTCTTTTAATTGTACATGTTTTAATAATGAGATCTACAGTAGAAAACAGTAGGGTCTATGCTGCTCACTGCTGGACTGAAGTCAATTAGAACGTCCTATACGCCCAAGCATATTGTGTGCGAACGCTGCTTATCTTTATACCTTTCTGCTTTGTGCACCTGTTTTTATGTATACATTTTTAGCAGTGAGCTCTGTGGACCCTACCCTACCTTTGGACTGGGGAGAACCTGAGATTCAAGAGAGACTCCTGTGAGTTAAGGACTGTGGTACCAGCTTTGAGAAACAGGGATTAGTTTTGTTCACCTATAGATGGATTTGAAACCATCACTTACACAGGTTATTTAAAAATAAAGAAGTGGGTATATTCATGATGCACTTGACAGAATTGGGCATATCCAAACATATAAAAGTGCACACCAATTCTGCAGTTTTTGGTGGTTAGTAAGTCTGTATTTCCCTGTTGTGTCCCTTTTAGTGTTTTTAAGATTGGCAGAATGATTTATGCACTGCAGGTTGTTAAGAGAAAAGGGTTCATTAATTTTACATTACAGATTAAGTTATTTAAAAGAAAAAATAGCATTCAGAAATCTGAATTTTTTTTTAATTTTCATCCACTTATATAACAGGTAAAAATGGTATTTGAATATCTAAATGTCTTTTGAGAGTCTTGTAAACTTGTAAAGTTTACATGTGTTAGTGAATGTTGAAAGCAGCTCCTTATTATATAAAGCAACTTCGTAGATTTACTGACCTTTACGTGTGCTGTAGAGAATGATTGTGAAAAGGGAACACAATTTTCTAATTTGTGTATTTTTTAAAATTCTTAATGATTTTTTTTTTTTTTTTTACTTTTAGAGAAATAAAATATATATTTTTTTAGTAGAAAAAAACTTATTATAACTATATTCGTTTTTATTATTTGAGAACTTAAACTTATTAGGAGGCCTAGGCTCTTGAATGGTTTGTAATGCAATAGAATACAATAAGTAACTGTAAAATTCATAATTTGGCTTTTGTTCAGTATAATTCAGAAAGTTATTATAAAATTTCTCACTGGTTGCATTTATGTGATTGAATAATAGACCAAGGTAAGCGTTCTTTCAAAACCCAGAATATCTCCAACATTAACATATGTTTTTCTTTTATTATTGACATCTCTAATTGAATTGAAAATACCCAAATTAGTGACAATGTTACATAGTCACTAGAAGAGAATGCAGATAGTACTTCTGCTTATTGTCCATGTGATCATATGCTAAAAATGTAGTCTGGTTATTGTGGAAGGTATTAGATAACTTCTACTGCCAAAGATCAAAATTAAATTACTTGCCCTCCCACTTACCTTATGATTCTTCATAGAGGAGCCATGGACCAGCAGAGTGAATATGCTATCTTGCAGATTTGCATAGCAGGCCTGATTTACTAATCGTTTTCTACGTGCATCAGTCATGTGTGGACAAATTGTATCCTCACGATATTTACAATGAACAAGCTATGTGCATAGATACATATGCACAGACTATGGCATACATACAGTGAATTTACAAAGAAGTGTGTTTTGCTATGGAGTGCACACTCCTGTGTCCAAACACCAGTTTACATGGTGGCATGTCTAAAATAATGAGTGAAGTGCAAACAGCTATCATTAAATTTGATTTAAAAAAAAAAAATTTAAGTAAGTTATGCTACGCTAGTATATTTGCAGATGTGTCCTGTAATACTATGAATTAATGCTTGTGAGCTACTATGTGGTATTTACATAAAAATATATTAATTTAAATTAATACTATAATAGTGGTGCATCAACACTAATGCACATACCTATAAAACTGCAAAGTTAAATAATGATAAATTAAATGTGTCGCGCTCCACCAACTAATTATATCCTTGATATAAAATTGCTATCAACATATAATTAATATACCTCCTACACCAAACATGAAACGTGCTGAAAACTAATATATAAATAAATAAGTTGAAAATGATGTAATAATAATATACTAAAAAACTTCATATATATATATATATATATATATATATATATATATACACACCGATGTGCTGAGTGGTCAATAAATACAATATTCAAATAAATGTGCCACACTGACCATATATCAGTATTAAAAACAATTTACAAAATGTGCAAAAAATAATAAAAAATTATTTTAAAGTGCAATCTGTGCAAAAAAATTCATAAGAAATGTATATAAAGGTCCACTCTGTGATTTGAATCTTGCTCTGCAGAAAAATGTATGCGCTCACATCACATGTAGCCAAACCGTTAAGTAAGGCTAATAACGCTTTTGTGTCCTTAAGTGGACCAGATGGTATTTTCCATGCTGAAAATATATATCAGGATATGATGGATAGACCGTACTGCCACCCTTCTCCCACTGAGGGTCTCCTGGACTCTCTCCTGGCCTCACTGAGGAATGCCCGTGATGAAGCCACGTGACCTGGTGGCGTAACGCATAGGGGAGGGGCTCTGATGTCACGACACCATTTAGATCGACTTCACGGCGAGTACAGACAGTGTAGTGTGCTTGAGCACACACTGAGGCAAAACATTCTATGTAAAGCGTTATCATATTTTATACCATGTGAGTGCGCAATTGTAGGAGTTTAATAAACCACTTTATAAAGGATAAGGCACTATGTATTTATTTTCTTACATGACATCTTAATACATGGAGAGGTGAGGCAGTATACAGACCCCTGCAGGACAAGGGGAGAAAAAACCTCATCCATCCACTGAGGCACAGTGAGGCCAGGAGAGAGTCCAGGAAACCCCCAGTGGGAGAAGGGTGGCAGTACGGTCTATCCATCATATCCTGATATATATTTTCAGCATCGAAAATACCATCTGGTCCACTTAAGGACACAAAAGCGTTATTAGCTTTACTTAATGGTTTGGCTACATGTGAGGTGAGTGCATAAATTTTTCTGCACAGCAAGATTAAAATCACAGAGTGGACTTTTATATACCTTTCTTATAAATGTCTTATGAATTTTTTGCACAGATTGCACTTTAAAATAATTTTTTTGTATATATTTTTAATACTGATATATGGTCAGTGTGGCACATTTATTTGAATATTGTATTTATTGACCACTCAGCACATTGGTGTGTGTGTGTGTGTGTGTATATATATATATATATATATATATATATATATAAAGTTTTTTATTATATTACATCATTTTCAACTTATTTATTTATATATTAGTTTTCAGCACGTTTCATGTTTGGTGTAATTATATGTTGATAGCAATTTTTTATATCACGGATATAATTAGTTGGTGGAGCGCAACACTTAATTTATCATTATTATCATTATTGTCCTGTAATACTACCACTTTTCTGATGGTATTGCAGGACACATCTGCAGATATACTCATGACCACAGCATGAGTTTCCAGTAATATATATGTATTTATATTTTTATTTCCATGCCTGCATAGCTTGCTTTTTTATACTTTATC